AGCTTCTGTTGTAGTATAACCAAGGCACAGTCTGCAGACCCACGTTGTTGAAGAGTACAGTCTGCAATGGCATGGATTGTGAAGGGGCATGAGGACAGCTGTACCAGTTCAGAGCAAATCCTGCCCCTTGCTCAGCATCATGCCTCAAAAAGCTGTAGGCAGGTAGCTGTGCAATTGTAGCTTGTTTTGGGAGCCTTAGGAGCATGATGTGATTTACCTGTTTAGTAGCCCTCTTTCATGGGCTTGTCCCACTCATAGTTTGACCCATGTAAATTTTTCCATACCCACAGTATCCTTTGGCAAGGGCATCCACAGGTCTGCTGTGTTCAGCTGCATAAACTGCCTCCCTTGTTATAAATCTGGATCTGACCAGTCTCAGTTGATGGCCCTTGGTATTTAAACTAGAAGAGATGGTCAAGGGTCAAATTCTTGACCATCTTTGCCATGGCATATATATTTGTGAAAAAACCTTTACCAGATCCCCTTCAAGTCACCTTTGTTTCCCTGCAGACTCCATTATTTCTGACAGAGAAGCCATTCCCTAGTGTTTATCATCGTTGTTCCTCTCTTGACACTTTTTCAGGAGTGCCTGTAAGTTGAACAAACAATAGCAGCAGCAACAAAGCCCAGATGTGTGCTGCGTATTTGTGAAAGGGAGAGGGATCTCCTTGGAAATGTTCTTTGCCTAATAACTGTAGTCAAAGGCACAAAGTAATTTTTAAAGGAAATTTAGGATTACTATTGTCAGTTATTGACAAATAGTACTTTAGAGATTCTCAGTGAAGGAAAAGTTCTGTAAAGCTGCAGGGGTAGAAATATCCCCTCAAACCATGTAATCCTTTTGGTGTTCATCACTGTTAGCCCTGGTGCTTATAGAAGATATCTATACCAAGAAGATATGTATATCATGACTTTTTTAGTTGCTGCCTAGTGATTAAAGACCCAGGATAATACTCATAAGAGCTCAAGTTCCTCCTTCACATTAAATGACTACTGGCAGTGATTATTGATATCGAAGATAACTTGGTGCAACTGCTGCAGTGCTTTTGGATGTGGTACAGACATATGGTCTGAGATGGAGAGAATATTTGTGCAAGACGCTCTTCATCATTCTGTCATGAGTTTTTATTTGTTCTTTTGAGCTGTCAATGCTGTGGCAGAGTTTTTGTGTGCTCAGGCATCCTTTTATTACACCCACCTGTCCCTTGCAATACGCCTTGAGTCAATGTTCTCAGCTAAAATTTTGCACACATGTTCTTGTGAAAGGGACCTGTAGGTCCACCTCTTTCCCAGAAGGTAAATGTTTGGCACTTTCTGAAATGGGGCCTCTTCAAAGTACTTCAAATCAGGCACCTGAAATGACCAGTTGTGTGTGGAAAGCCTGAGCTCTGCATGTGTCTCTGTGGAAAGGTCAGATCTTGCCAAAATCATGAGATTGCTGTGAGGGTACAGATTCTGCAAAGACACCATGTACTCAGAAGCTGAGCTGCAGCACTGCTGGGGGAGATGCCTGGCTGGCAGGGATGCTTGATGCTCCTTTTTTTGCTCCTTTCTTTCTTGGAGAGGCATTGAAATCCTGGCTGTGATGTGACAAGGGAGACTTGAATGACTGTGTGACTCTGACATAGCACTTTTCTCTTGCCTTTCCTGTGCTTTTCAGAGCTGTTTCCCGTGACATTTGCAGTGGCCCTGCTGGGAGAGCTGGCACAGGGCAAGTGCAGGGACTGGGCATCTGAGGTTCCTGGGTCTTGCGCTGTCCCTTGCTGCTTCAGTCTCATCACCTGGCTGCACTGCCCCCTCTTGCCACTGCTCTTGTCCCCTCCCTGTGCACCTCCAGGGCTTGGGAGATGGGTTAGCTGAGAGCTGCCTGGCTGTTGTTTGGCTTGCCCCTGGCTCAGAAGGCTGGCAACAATAGCCCTGATCCAAAGGGGATAAGGGTCAGGGGATGGCTTCCTCCTTATCACATGGGATTTGCTGTCTTTTGGAAAAAAACAGATGCAAAAACCTGCAATTTCTTATTAATTTTTAAGTAGCACTTGGCTCACTACCTCCTCCCTATCAGCCCTTGTGCTGTCAGTAAATTATATTGGATTTGCAATTAAAAGCCAGCTGTGCCAGTGCAGTACCAGCCAAATGCCACCATCACTGTCTCCTGGGTGTCCTAGGGAAGGTGCGGAGCACACAGCTCCTCCTGTAGTGAGCTCTTCTCTCACTTCAAGAGGCCATGATAAGAGTTTAAATGGGATCTCAGACATGTTATTTTTGTTAATCAGAGCACTTGCTCCCTAAGAAATGAAGTTCTCTTCTTAATACTGTGTATCATGGATATAGCAATTCCCAGAGCTTGCAAAATGCCAAACATCATGCAAAAGGTTTGAGCACAACATGTACTGCTGGATGTCTGCCTCAGGCTGATTGTTTTTCTTTTTTCCTTTCTTGATTAAAATAGTTTTGGAGAAGTACTTCTGCTGTTTGGGATTTTTTTGAAGTGTTGAAAAGCATTTGTGCCCACCCGTGTTGGAGCAGGAATTTGCAGCCAGGCACAGGGAACAGCACTGAGGATGTGCTGCTCCTTGCTCCTCTGGAGATGCAGCCTGTTCATCCAACTTCTGAGCCTTTGTGTCTCACCTCTGGGACAGCAACCTGGTGCAAGTTGTAGCAAAAGCCTGACTGTTTTGTCTTCTATCCATACTGGAGCTGGGCAGGACTTTTTCTGCACTGTTTTCTTCTGTCCCTCAGCTTCTGGAGCCAGAATGGGAAGCAAGGAGCTCTTTGGCTCTCAACTCTCTCGCTTTTGGCTGCTTTAGGAAGGTGCAGCAACCCAGTGCAAGGGAAGATAGAAGAGGAGGAATGTATAAAGTGAGTCTCTTCAGAACCTGAAGGAGGACTCCAGGTTAGAGTTACAGTGAAGGTCCTAAAAACCACTGGGAAGGGAAGAAGGAAGCCCATGTCAGTGCTGGCTGTGAGGATGGTGAGATTTGACATCTACCAAAAATTTGTGCTGTGGGTCCCCAGGGTTGTGGTCTTCCAGTGAGCTTTGGAAAGTCAGATACCTATCTCTGATAAAATATTATTTTTTAACTAGATAGCTGGAAAACTCTTATGTAAAAAAATCCAGCACCGTGTTAAAAGCCTGATAAACAAAGTGGTGCGCTTAGCTGAGAAATAACTGATGGAGTGTTGTGTGTGGAGCTTTTAATTCCTACCACTGCATATTTGCCTTGTGGTGCAATTTTAATTGTCATTGCAGGTGGGATATGTGTGTGCTGTAGCAAGGCTAAATGTGCATACAGAAATTGGATTATGAGCTGTCTTTAGGTGTGTAATAAAGATCTTGTCCTTCCTGCTGCTTTGAAAACAGTTCACTTCAAAGGGTGTAATATTTGCTTTGTCCTTTGGCCTTTGTGGGGTGAGAGAAGAGGCTGCCTGCACCGTAGATGTGTTAGTTGTCTCTAGCAGTATCTTTCCCCAGGATGAAGAGGTTGGTACAGCAAACAGTGGGGGAGCACTTGCCTCTGTTGTTCCTCTCCCTGTTTGTTTCAAATGTGCTAGCTTTCCCCGTCCTCCCCTTAAATCACATTATTTCATAAAGAGTAAAAAGAAACATAATTTGGAGCAGCAGCAAGCTGAGCCCAAGTTAATAGTTTGAATTGCACTCCATCTGTTCAGCTGCATGCCCTGATGGATGTGCTGAACCCATTTTTCACAATTTGTTTTAAGCTGCTAAGAACCATCTCTCCTGGCTCCAGTCCAGGCTGGCTGTGGTGAAAAACTTCGTTTCTGGACATCGATGTTCAGAGGGCAGGATTGAATCAATAAACCCCAGATTCAAGGCTACCTCTTCACCTGCAGGATGCCACTTTTTGAAAGCTTAAATTCTGCTCTGGACTTGAGCATTGTTACTGAAAATTAGAGAGCGGGGGGGAACCCCCAACATACAGACGCACAGAGAGGATGAAATTTGCAAACGTGATTATGCAGGACCTGCTTTAAATCGGCTTATTGCTGTTTTATGATGGCAAGCAAGCAGTCACAGAAGCCAGGGTGATTGGCCTTGCCATGTGTGCATGCTGCTGGTAACTCAATAACCGATGAACACCCACCGTGGTCTCCAGACCTCGAGCCTTTGATGTAGCAACAAACAAGATAGATTGCTGTAATTTATCTGGCCCCTGGAGGGCTGTGCTGGTAATGTGCCATGAGCCCAAGGGCCAGCCATCCATAATCTGTGTAAAAATCCGGCGGATCGCAGTCGCCGTGCTGCGGGGCTGGCTTTGTTTGGTGCCTTTGCGCGTGTACAGCGCAGGGCACTGGACCCTGACTCCAGAGCCAGGGGCACTGAGCTTTACTGGAAAGTGCCCACTCTTTCCATTAACTTTAATTGGATTTGTTATGTGCTAAATGCACACCTTTCAAATTGGCTTGGGAAGGCAGTGCTGGAAATCTGATATTTCTCTGTGGGCCTTTACAAGTGTAAGAGAGAATGGAGAAGGTGTGCTGGGTTTGGGGAAAAAGAAGAGGGTTTTGTACTAGCTGAAGCCTCTGGCAGGTTTGCTGATGGAGGATGAGTGCCTGGGGCATTGGAGTTGGGTGGCCCAGGTGCCAAAGGAGAGGGAGTGTAGCCCCCTGGCTTCTCTCCATGGGGTGATGAGAGTTGGAAAGTAAAAGTACTGAAAACAAAGGCCTGTCACCTTGAGTTGCTGATTTGTTACTGCGTGGTGCATTGCCCTTTCACGCCTGGCTTCTTACCGCTTCCAAACAAGGGGTTCATGTTACCTCAGAGCTGCTTCTTTTGTGGGGTGTTTTTTAAAACACTTCATTGAGTCAGCGAGAATTCTGCAGTGTGACTCGGGGGTGCTGTGCCAGAGCCTGATGTGCCGGATGTAAGACAGGGTGTGAGGGCTTCCTTTGTCCAGCATGGAAGGGCAGGGACATATCTGGGTGCAGGTGTGGGGATTGCCCGCTGATCAGTAACGCTGGGCTCCTCTCCTCCCACAGGCATGGCACTGGCCCAGCGGCAAGTGACGGTGCAGGAGGGCCCCCTGTACCGCACGGAGGGCTCCCACGTCACCCTGTGGTGCAAGGTGAGCGGCTACCAGGGCCCGGCGGAGCAGAACTTCCAGTGGTCCATCTACCTGCCCTCGGCCCCCGAGCGGGAGGTGCAGATCGTCAGCACCGTGGACCCCTCGTTCCCCTACGCCATCTACACGCAGCGCGTGCGCGGCCGCGGCATCTTCGTGGAGCGGCTGCAGGGGGACGCCGTGCTGCTGCACATCACCGAGCTGCAGGAGCGCGACGCCGGCCAGTACGAGTGCCACACGCCCAACACCGACGAGAGGTACTTCGGCAGCTACAGCGCCAAGATGAACCTCGTGGGTAAGCTGTGCTGCTCGCGGCGCGGCTGGGCCCCTGGGGTGCTGCAGTTCGTTTTAGGGGTCCCCGGGGGCCCCCCTAAGCTGTATGTTCGCTGGTAGCAGCAGGCAGGCAAGGAGACTCCACACAGCTTCAGGGGGTGCTAATGGGATGAGGGTGCTAATTGGGGGTCCCACCCCCGGGAGCAGCATGGAGAGAGAGAGCCTAGAGAGAAAAGGGCCAAGCTGGTCTCCCTCACACAGCCTAACAGGGAGATTCAAAGTGGGCACGGAGTAAGACTTGGCCCATTGGGATTACAGATCCGTGATACTTCAGGGGAGGATCACAGGCTTGGAATAAACCCTACATTTTGGAGGGGTGAGACAGAGCATGCCATTTAACTAAAATGTAACTCTACAATGGGGTGTGAGACCCTTCCACCCAGCATGTGCAGTGTGGTCTGCTTAGGCTGTCAGATAAAACTCCTGTGAGGGAGAACTGGAGCAGGGAGAGCAGGTGGCACAGTGGTGGGAATTGCAGAAAATCACGGTATAGAGGCACAGGAAATAGTGAGCTTTCTTCACTAATAAGGCCTTTATGAAAATGAGACTCCAGGCAGCACGGCTGGGCAGAGGAACGTTTGAAGCCATGGCTGAAAGCAAAACTGAGACTGATTTACAGAGAGGGAAAGGGCCAGGGAGTCTGTGTAGATGGCACAAGTCACAGACCAGAGAGCTGCCTGCCAAAGGTGGTGAAATAACTGAGCAGGGAAGAGAGGAGTAGTAATGAGCAGCACATAAAAGGGAACAGGAGAGATGGTCATCTTCAGGCTCTTCCAGCAGTGCTGAGTACATCCTGAAAACACTGAGCTGATTGAGCTGTCTGTAGATGAGTGTGGAGAAGCTGGTTTGGGATTTTTTTTTTGGTTTGCGTTAGAAAAATCGAAAATAGGTACTTTTAAAATCTGGAGTATTTCCATGGCACCTCTTTGACTAGAAGATTTGACCTTTTCAAGCTTCAGCTTGCTTTCTGTATCTCAAAGCTCAAAGCAGTATTTGAAGTGTCTAACTCAGCTAACAGCAGTCAAATTTAGCTTCCATCCAACTCTTTGGCTGAAAGACCTCTAAAAGAGCTCCTGTACAACACAAAACCCCTCTAGCAAATTCAAGCCCACAGACAGCAAGCAGGCTTGCTTTGCTTAGGAGGTGTCTGTGAGGCTGCAGCTTGAAGACCACTTTGACATTATCCAGCCCGTGGTGGTGTTGCTAGTTCAGGCTGTGTTGACACAAGAAATCCAGGGTGAAAGGAGCCAGGATATGATTTCAATCACAATAGCCTTCCTTCAGGTTGAGCTTGTTGCCTCCAGCTTTCATGGCCTTGGCTTTTTTCCTTCAGAGGTGCAAGCTCAGCCACTGATCCAGGTGAAGCTCCACAGCATGGGTGTAGGTGCTTATTTAGGTGCCTTTTTTGCCATCTGGTGTCCATGAGTGGTTGGGGGTAGATGCCTGAGTATTCTATTTTTCATCTGTAGGTCTGTAATTTGCTTTAGGTCTCCAGATTTGCAGTTCCCACTGCAGTTCAAACAAGGCTGAGTCAGCGCTGCTTTTGTTAAGTCACCTTGGGGAGTGAAACCCATTGAAACCAACACCCACTGAAAAAACGTGCCCGGGGGCAGGGTGGGGATGGATGGATTCTGGTGGCTCTGCCAAAGAGCTGGAGCTGAGCACAGTCAGCATATCCAGTGGCTGGGCAGTGGGAAGCTCTCCCAAGAGTCTGGGGAGCCAAAGCTGGGTTGATCTGTTTTTGCTCTGTCCTTCCCTTTCCACAGCTACAAACCAGTAAGATCTGGGAGTCTGTAGACACCCATGAACTGTGCTTGGAGGACATTGGCTTTGGGGCTTACATGTGTCAGAGATACTCAAGAAAATTGATCTAGAGTAACTTCTAGTGGATTTGTTAAATCACATTATGCCCCTTCATGGATGCTTGCGGTCAGGATTTTGGGCCCTAATTTGGTTTAGCTTAATTCATTTCTGAAAATTCACTTTGGAAATGGCTTAGGGTCACTTGCATTTTGAACATGAGCATCTGTGTACATTCCCTTCTGTGGGTTAGCCAAACTCTTGACAGAAACTGAATTTTTCAGAGTGCTCCCAGCAATGACCTGTAGACAGAATGCCCTTACAGAGAGCCTTCCTTCTGCCTCTCATTCATGGGAAGTGGTGCTGACTTCAACTTTGTTGAAGGACCCTGAAATCCTTTTGGGGAGATGAGCTCCTCTCTGCAGACCTGGGCAGATCACAGATCTGTTTTCCTGTCTCAACTCTAGGTTGGGGGGTTTCAGGCTGGTTTTGTTTCTGCAGACAGTATGCAAGAAGAGGTGCAGAAGAGAGTTACTGTTCTCATTTTCTCAGAAAAAGAACCAAACTTTTTTTTTTTTTCGTTCATCCAGTTATGAATTTTTAATTGACTCATTAGATTGAGTGGCTCTTTTCTGGCAGCAGCAAAGCCTGAAGGGAGACAGGTTTGTTAGCATCTCTATTCTCTCCACTTATGTGTGAAGTGGATGGCTTTGAAGCAGTGTTGATTTTAGGCTTGCTGCACTGGGACCTTGGAATTGTTGTGTCCCATGGTTTGAGGAAAGAGCTGAAGGACGAGTTTCTCCTCTTTTCCACCTTGATCATACAGCCCTGTGGCAGGGGAGCTGCATGGGACACTGGTGCAGCAGGACATGGGGCTGCTGTCTGCACTGGGGCATTTCAGCTTGCAGCAGAGCAGCTGGGATGTGTTCTGCTCCTGCCATCTGAGCATTGTTGAAGGCTGTGTCTCCAGGGCTCTGAGCCTGCTAAAAAATAATCTTGTCAGCTTCAGAGACATGCCAGTTTGGCTTGAAAGTACACTTCTCTCCACCTCATGAACAGCAAGCATGGTTAGTTGTCCCTCTGCCATTATTAATGTCACTGCTCCAGATTCCTTTTCCCTCACTGAGACTTTGGCCACAGTCTAGTACTGCTTTGAGGACCTGATGTCTGTGATGGCCTGGAGTAAGAAGTGCTCCCCAGGCACTCAGTGGGACTCTTATCTGAATTTTAGGCATGCAACACAAGTGCTAATCTCACTGAAGCTAGGAATGAGGCCAGTCATGTGGTTCAAAGGCCTTCTGCCATGCAGCATGTGTATTGAGGCTTAATCTTCTTCAACCAGTCTTCAATTGCTTCAAAAACAAGCCTTTCTGTATCCTACTGCTCCTCTTCTCATCCCCCTCTGAGCTGCATCTTTGGGATGATGGAGTTATGCCTGGGCTGTGAGATGTGTTAGGAGAAGAATTTAGGACATCTCAGGTGCTTGAGGAGGTGGGGTAAAAAAAAAAAAGAAGGGGTGCAGCTCTTCAGGATGTTGTGGAGCCATGCCCTTGTGACTGATTTATGAGAAAGGATTAGCCCTTGTACAAAGTCCGCAACTCTGTTGTTTACCTTCAGATTTTAGTTCCCTGAGACTGACACAAAATTGCTGAGGCTAGTTAGTTCATGCTCCTTACTGAGGGTGGCGGGAAAATATTTTGAAAGATCTCATGAGTTGTCTGCCACCCATTTAACACCAGACTCACTGCCTAAGGTAGATATCCAGGTAATATCTGCCATCAGAAGACAGAAAAAGACAAATCTAGAAAGCGGTCCATCTTTGTGGAAATTAAGTGCATAGTTCTCTGTGTTGATTAGAGAGAGATCCTACATGTTAGACTCAAGCTAGGCACTAGTGGCTGTAAACTTGGCTGCTTTTGGAGTCTTGCCCTATCAGACTTCTGAGCAACTGGTGGGAATTTTGACTTTGTGGTTGAATTGGGAAGACACTTGAGCGTGCAGCAGAGTGTGCTGTACAAAATTTAAATTAGGATGATTAAATCGTGGATCTGGGGACAATGCATAGTTGTGTTGGGGCCCTGCTTGTTGCTGGCTGTATGCACTTTTTTAAGAAGTTAAGAGACAGCAAAGAATTTGCAGGTGAAGGAAAGCAGCATCTCAGGAGCACAGCATCACCACTGACAAGACAGCAGTATTTTCCAGGTTGCCATTGGAGTTATCCCTTTTCTTAACTCTTGAAATACGGGCAGAAGAGGAGGTTTCTGTGCAGTAATTTAGCTGGTGAAGCTGCAGGAGTGCTATGCTAATTGAGGTGGTGGTTTGTGCTTCTCCTGTTGATGGGTAAACTTGTGTTTTGCTGCAGGGTAGAATTGAGCACATGGCAGTTCCTTCAAAGAGCGTGAGTCACTGCAAATTTGTACTCCACTGTATCTCTGCGATGAATTGTTTGTGTGCCTGTACCCTCACTTAGATAACAGTGAAGAGGCCCAGGTCTAACCTCTTCAGAAGTTTCAGACTTTTATCTCAGTGTTTTTTCATCTGTGCTCCCAAAAACGTTGAGATCTTTTTCAGAGTAAGTGATTTGAGGGAAGAAATCAAGCTTTGAGGTTTTTCTTAAACAGGTAGCGATAGAGCGGGAGGAAAGGTTTCAAAGCACTTGAGGAGGTGGCAGGTCTTTTAGTCTTTATTTTGAGGGAAACAGCTGTACAGCATCAATCCTAAACAAGTTAAAGCAAAAAATTGAAAGGGGATTGGATGGGAGGAGACCACAGTCCCCATGGTACCACAGACTGGGAAGAAGCAATGTCAGTGCAGACTTGAGAAGCAAGGAGCACTCAAACACAGCTGCCTTTGCAGTGGGCAGGGGCTGCTGTGGAGCTGGTGGTAGTGCCTACAGGGATGGTGACCAGGACCTTCTCCCAGCCAGGCTTAGGTCACAGAGGGCAGAGGGGTTTCATGCTGGTTAGGTGCTATTCAGTGGCTGCCCTGTCAGCCTGGTCACTCTTTTGCTCTCTGCTGTTTCTCACTGGTCTCTTCCTGCCTGGCTGGGTTGTTGCCTTGGCCTCTGCCCTGTTCTCCTGTGTCCTGCATTACCTGTGATGGCTCCCTGGGGCTCTGTTGTGGTTTTTTGGCTGGTAGCCCCATTGTGGTGGAGTTTCTACA